ATTACCGATGAACAACCAAATCTGGCTGCTGTGAGAAGAGTCCCAATAAATAGATCTCTCAACTCCTACCTTATCTGCTAAACAAGGTTTTATTTTCCTAAATAATAATAATAAAGCATTAATGAATATTATCCTAATAAAATAAGGGAAATAAATAAAAGGAAATAAAGATATCTCTTCTAGACTCGCAAACGATCATACTTTGTCAGATATGCTAAGGCGATCTCGTCGCCATCATATACACAAACTTATCTGGATATATTCTAGGAATGTTTCTTAAATCTTCATAGGCATTTAGCTAATACTATATATCTTTAAACCGTAGAACCTGAGTTGAACCGGACTGACATGGATGCTACATCAAGATAGATGTAGGGAACTGAAGAAAAAATTGGATTTTACCCGTTTTACGGTTTTATTATCGCAAGTGGAAGACTTGGAATAAAATCTCAAAATCACTTTAGATTAAATGAGAAATTAATTCTATAGGTGAAATATGGAAAATTTGAGTTTAATGTAATTCAAAATTGAGTCCAAGTAACTCAAATATTGTTGGATTCGCAGATCTTCTATCTTTTACGAATGTTTGGACAATCTAAACAAGTTAGAATCTTTCATTAAGCATGTTATAACTCTAGAGGGGTTCGGAGAATGAGTAGGAAAAAACCAAACATGATTATGAGGTTCAATTTGAAAGAGATTCACTTTTGGGTGATCATTCACGTACGGTAGTCTTCTTTCTCTGTAAGCCACGGTCGGATATCAATGCTAAATAAGAAGAAAGGCATCCTCGGTCAAATAGAAAGAACTAATTAGCGTCACACCATATATTGGTTAAGGAAGAGATACAAGCTTACTAGGCTAACCAAGGGACAACTCTCCGTCTCTCTCGCTTAGAATCTCTATTCTATTCTTTTTGTTATTAGCTGCCTAGAGGCTAGATTCTCTGTAACTATGCATTAGCTCAACCAAAAAAATCCTTGATCTAAGGCCTTTCTTTATTCTTTATAAGGCTCAATGTAATTGAGTTTGGCCTTTCAATGTCTGGACGAGTCGTACGGGCTCCTGGGGTGCATGTGCACGCTAGGCTCTGTCGCTGGCGCGATGCACGGATCAATCTACCAGTTTGGGCGCAATGGATCATTGTGGGCACCGCTCGGATCATCCCACTAGTTAGGCGCAATGAACATCGTGGATGCGACGAGCATGCGACTCGAACGCACCTATTCATCATAAAGAGGTTCCTACTTAGTTTTGGATGACCGGGCACGTCTCGAAATGTGTCTCTTAAACCATCCTCACACTGGTGAGCATGGACAAACTTACCAATTTTTTCGTTTTCCCTAGTTTTAGATTTTGATTACGCTTTAGCCCACATTTGTGGCGGAGACTTTATCATTGAGCACTTGTTAGCCCGGGTGTGGTTTTCATGGTGTGGTTTTCAATTTTGATTTTATTTTTTCCATGTGGACTTCTTTATATTGTAGACTGATCTTGTATTCGCCCCAATTTGAGTTTTGATCTATTTACAAATTGGGGATGTGGCCTCAATCCCTCGTCCCAATCCCCCATCCTTTTGGGACGTGTGTTTGTTATTTTAAAGAAAAAAAAAAAAGCAAAAATGAATATTTCTATTTAACCCCATTACTACGTACCGCCCATTGGACAATTTTGCCCCTGACACTTTTTTTTTTTTTAAAAAAAAAGAAAAATTCTCATCCGGCCAGTTCTGGTTTCCCCGGTAGGACGTGCCCGTGCACGTCCTGTTTCGCCGGTAGGACGCGACCGTGCACGTCTGCGATCACCAGTAGTACGCGACCGCGCACGTCCGCGATCTCCTGCCGAACGAGAGGTTTTTTTTATATCAATTTTTTTAAGTTATAAATATTCTTTTAATATTTATAAATTAATTTTTTTTTTATTATAGTTATAAAAATATAATTTTTTAATATATATATATATATATATATATATATACACTTTGCATTTATTTTAATTTATAATAAAAATTTATTTTTCCAAACTTCGTATAATCATATATATATATATATATGACTAATTATAAAAATATACTTTTTTCATATAATTATAAACATAATTATTTCAAACTTAAATATAATTATATATATATTTTAATTAATTATTCATTTTTATTTAATATTTTTTTCATTATTTACTTAATTTTATATTTTATTATTTAATATAATTATAACAATATACTTGTTTTTAATATAAATATATATATATATTATTTTTTATTTTTTTTTAAGAGAGAGAGAGTGTGTATTAAGGGCAAAAAGATAATTAGGGAGACGGTGCGTAGTAAAGGCCAAAGGGGCATCGATTCACTATATATCTATTTGAAAGTGAAAATGCAAAAATGTGTTTTGTATTTTACTCCAACAAAATAATAGATAAATAAAAGTCAGTTTGGGAGTGAATAGATACGAGGGCTGAACTGAATATTTCCAAGAAAACTAACTCAACACTCCCAAAATCACATAAAACACTAATGAATATGATGGATTTGAATAGAGATTTACACATCCCAACCATCTTTCCTGCTGCCAAACTCCATTTTAGTGCGATTCAAGCTCCCATACATATCTGAAAACTCCCTGAGACACCTGCTCCTCACCCCATAGTGTGCCTTCGTGTTCCTACTAATCGCCACACCCGAGAATTTCGACATGTCGACCACCCACGTGGGCCTCACATACTCCACCCCACCACCCCACAAATAATTCATCAGCAGATCCTCGCAATTCACGTACCCATCCACCACTGCCCGCCCTCTGCCCGCCTCCTCCCCCCAATACCTTGCGAATGCTGCCTGGTGGTCCACAAAAGCTGCCCCGGTCAGAATCACATCGT